CTTTATCAAAGAATTTGAAGAAATCGAGCAAGAAGAAAGCGAAGTCTGAAAAAAATATCGAGGCGGAAAAAGCATTACAAGATGTGAGTTTTAAGTTGTATTTTTTCGGTTTCTTAGCAAAGTTCTAATACTTTTGTACCATCATGATGTAATGAGCGTAGGGGGAGATCTTACAGGAACCGCAAATATCTTCACACACCCAAGTAACGCAAGAAAACGAAGAAGAGGAACGTCCGGAACTCATGGTTCTTTCGCACAAACTTTAACTAAAGAAGTCAATCGATATATGTGCATTTCAGAGGAAATTCCTTGCTGAAAACGATATGAAACTTCCAAAGAAGCAGTTTAACGTGCTGGTAATGGAGCTGATTTGTTTTTTTTTTCGTCAAGCGAAACCTCTGATAGGAAAAATTTCCTTTAGGACCTCCCAATATGGATCGTGCGTACAGATCTGGCGAAGGACGATAAGCCTGGAAATGAGATGAGGCTGCTAATGGTAAGGGAAGCGTTCTACACGAAGCTTTCTCAGGCTATTCGCTTAAGGCTGATTGGCTGCTTAGACGAGGTGGTATCGACGAACGTACGAGAGGGATTTCACCCATTCTGGCAGGGAATAAGCCCTTAGATGCGGTACGTGTAGCTTCTTCACTTCTTAAGGAAATAAGATCTAAAGCCTTATAGTAATTTTAAGCCAATGAGCCCAGCTCAGAAACAAAACGTATCTAATCTGCCACGCTATACTCGTGCTCCGAAAGGGGAGCAAGTGGAAAAGTTGGCTAAGATGGTGAGTAGCTCAGTACCTCCCCCTTTCCTCTCCGCTCCGCCCTTCTTCTCCCAAACACCCCTCTTCTACCCTTTTTCCAATATGAATGTGTATTCTGCTTTTTTAGGAGCAGTTTCTCGAAAAGCTGAGCTCCACAGAGCGTATGAGCTCTGCCGAATCTATGGAACAGGTGAGGTTAAACTCCCTTTACCCTCATTTGAGTACCATTTCCAAATTACCTTAAGGTGCCACTTGTGACCATCGTTCGTTCAGCAGGAAGAGGTTCTGCGGTGCACATACCTTTGGAGCCTGAAGTAAAGATAAGGTTTTCCTAATTTCTTGCACAATTTAATTAACTATTGTAGGAAGATATCACTCAATGCTCTACAAAAGG